GTCCTACACGTACCACATACAGTTGTCCTACACGTACCATATACAGTTGTCCTACACGTACCACATACAGTTGTCCTACACGTACCACATACAGTTGTCCTACACGTACCATATACAGTTGTCCTACACGTACCATATACAGTTGTCCTACACGTACCACATACAGTTGTCCTACACGTACCACATACAGTTGTCCTACACGTACCACATACAGTTGTCCTACACGTACCACATACAGTTGTCCTACACGTACCATATACAGTTGTCCTACACGTACCACATACAGTTGTCCTACACGTACCATATACAGTTGTCCCACACTTACCATATACAGTTGTCCCACACATGTACCACATACAGTTGTCCTACACGTACCACATACAGCCTTGTCCTACACGTACCACATACAGGGTGTCCTACACGTACCATATACAGGTGTCCTACACGTACCATATATACAGGTGTCCTACACTTACCATATACAGGTGTCCCACACGTACCATATACAGGTGTCCTACACACCATATACAGGTGTCCCTACACGTACCATATACAGGTGTCCTACACGTACCATATACAGGTGTCCTACACGTACCATATACAGGTACACTTTACCATATACCACACGTACATATACAGTTGTCCTACACGTACCATATACAGGTGTCCCACAGGTGTCCCACACTTACCATATACAGGTGTCCCACACTTACCATATACAGGTGTCCTACACGTACCATATACAGGTTGTCCTACACGTACCATATACAGGTGTCCTACACGTACCACATATACAGGTGTCCTACACGTACCATATACAGGTGTCCTACACGTACCATATACAGGGTGTCCTATACAGGGTGTCCTACACGTACCATATACAGGTGTCCCACACGTACCATATACAGGTGTCCTACACGTACCATATACAGGTGTCCCACACGTACCATATACAGGTGTCCTACACGTACCATATACAGGTGTCCTACACGTACCATATACAGGTGTCCTACACTTACCATATACAGGTGTGTCCTACACCACCATACAGGTGTCCTACACGTACCATATACAGGTGTCCTACATTACCATATACAGGTGTCCCACACGTACCATATACAGGTGTCCTACACGTACCATATACAGGTGTCCCACACGTACCATATACAGGTGTCCCACACGTACCATATACAGGTGTCCTACACGTACCATATACAGGTGTCCTACACGTACCACATACAGGTGTCCTACACGTACCACATACAGGTGTCCCACACGTACCATATATACAGGTGTCCTACACGTACCATATACAGGTGTCCTACACGTACCATATACAGGTGTCCTACACGTACCATATACAGGTGTCCTACACGTACCATATACAGGTGTCCTACACGTACCATATACAGGTGTCCCACACGTACCATATACAGGTGTCCTACACGTACCATATACAGGTGTCCTACACGTACCATATACAGGTGTCCTACACGTACCATATACAGGTGTCCTACATACATACAGGTGTCCCACACGTACCATATACAGGTGTCCCACACGTACCATATACAGGTGTCCCACACGTACCATATACAGGTGTCCTACACGTACCATATACAGGTGTCCTACACGTACCATATACAGGTGTCCTACACGTACCATATACAGTTGTCCTACACGTACCATATACAGGTGTCCTACACGTACCACATACAGGTGTCCCACACGTACCATATACAGGTGTCCTACACATACAGTACCATATACAGGTGTCCTACACGTACCATATACAGGTGTCCTACACGTACCATATACAGGTGTCCTACACGTACCATATACAGGTGTCCTACACGTTACCATATACAGGTGTCCTACACGTACCATATACAGGTGTCCCACACGTACCATATACAGTTGTCCTACACGTACCATATACAGTTGTCCTACACGTACCATATACAGTTGTCCTACACGTACCATATACAGGTGTCCTACACGTACCACATACAGTTGTCCTACACGTACCACATACAGTTGTCCTACACGTATCACATACAGGTGTCCTACACGTACCACATACAGTTGTCCTACACGTATCACATACAGTTGTCCTACACGTCACCATATACAGGTGTCCTACACGTACCACATACAGGTGTCCTACACGTACCATATACAGGTGTCCTACACGTATCACATACAGGTGTCCTACACGTACCATATACAGGTACCCGTCCCACACGTATATACAGGTGTCCTACACGTTCCATACACAGGGTTCCTACACGTATCACATACAGGTGTCCTACACGTACCATATACAGTTGTCCTACACGTACCACATACAGTTGTCCTACACTTACCATATACGACTACGCTAGACGTAATGTAGACAAAACACCCCTTCTGTGTCCTTTAGGTATTCAAAATTTGAAATATATTAGCAGCAAGCTCAATTTGTTCTCACATCTCCAGATTTAAATTCCGTAACGCTGATTTGACTCAGGCAAAAGCAGATAGTGTATTAATGAATGAAATGTAAACAAAGAAGAATATTAATACCTAGCACTGAGCCTTCTTGTAAATGTTCACTTGTCCTCTACCTACACCCTTCACCCCAGTACTGACATGGGAAGTAAGCAGTTGAATGAGCAGTGGGTAGGACCGAGGTCGAGTGACTCGAGTCGGTGGGAATAAAACAGCACTGTTTTGTATTTTCGGGTTGGCGGCCCAATTACAGTCACTCGAGCGATGAGAAACACAAATATAAATATGCTGACCTAATATAAACAACGATTACATTATGCTTATACCCTTCATTTCCATAGACTATATAATGCGAACTACAATTTGATATGACCACGTTATCTTGATACAATGAGAGTGCCTTGATAACAGAGCAGCTGTTGGTCAAGGAACAACACCATCTTTCACTTGAACAAACAAGACTGCCGTATGCCCTCCCTTAACATAGCTACTGTAGCATTTCGTTTCTCACGCTCCAAGTCTAATTTCCGACATAACGAACTCTCTAAGTCGCCCTTCATTAGCACCTGTCGGAAGAAATACTTGAGAGCGTCTTTACCTGTCAGGTGATACATCAAAGGCGCCGTCGCTGTCCAGGTAACAGACTAATCACTTCACCTGAGTCATCAAAAGATCACCTGGTGCAATGTTAAAATGTATTTTTTTTTATTAACGCAATATTTATTCTTAAAGAAAGTAGGGGATCTTCGTTTTTAAGTTACGATTGACAAAATGGGAGATATCGGAGTCAATCAATGTTGATACGATGATAATGAATGTTTTGAGAGTGCATCAGCACTTGCACTTCCTTATGGCCATAGTTGTTTGTACAGGAATCGCCCTTGAATGACGATTGGTGTATGACGTGAAATTTGCATGTGTACGATTTTCATTTTCAAACAACACCCGCCGTGCACGTAGACGTCATGGGGCACGTCTATTGTGAAGGATTAGCCGTCTTCGGCTTTGGATGTATTAATCATAGATTTGTTTATCGCTCAGACATCGTCGTCGGAAGTAATAGGAAATAGGTACGCTGATTCATTGCCAAACACGTGAGTACTTGGCCACGTGTGAGTTTGGTTTCCATGCCGCTCTAAACAGTACCCGAGTTATTGTAAGGTGGTCTGTTTAATATGGGAAGCAGGCCCAAAGTCATGTAGGTGTTAGACATTTATCATTTTGGTGTGTAACCCACGTGAACGGATAAGGAGCTGACAAACCAAGATACGCAATCGAACCTAGATTCGAACCACGACCATAGGTGTCTGTCAAGCCTAAGGGAGGAAACTGCTCAGCGTATACCCGCACCATGTGCCCTTAATTAGCTACCGACAAGCCTCCTAGGTATCAACTGAACAGTTTCTGCAGACCTGCAGGTTCAATTGTTAGGTCGTAAGTATGTTTGGCAGCAGGTCGTAGCTGAAAATTCTGATTGGAATATTTTATTAAGATACGAAATTTGTTAATACAGAATAAAAAGTGGAAGTCTACAAGTAACAGGATCTAAATGATAGTTGGCAGTAATTCCCCACCAAATCACGTCACAATGAAATGGAAATGACGCTTCAGCAGCCTGGCTGACGGTGTGTCACTGCAGAGTAGATTCAGCTTCAGAATATGTCCCCAGCAAACCTTCCATCAAGTGGATTGGGAGGTTAGGCTCGGTGGCCACTGGTGCCCCAAATAGAGAGTGTTTGGGGGCTCGTTCATTAAGGGCAGAGGGGAAGAAACATGTTCACAAGAGGCTCTCTGCTCAGCCCCTACATCCACTGACCAAGTACAAACTTACAGAAATACTCCTACGGGCCAGAGCATCATTCACAAAGCGAAGGGGCGGTTGGGTAGCCCAGTGGTTAAAGCGTTCACTCGTTACGGCTAAGACTAGATTCCCCACATAGGTACAATGTGTGAAACCCATTTCCGGTCTCCCCTACCGTGATATTGCTGGATTAGTGCTAAAAGCTGCGTAAAACTAAACTAACTCACTCTCACTTCTTTAGACCAGTTCTTGTTATTCCGGGACAAGTTAAACAGGTTCCCAGAATTTACGGAAAGGGGCGATTGGGTAACACTATACTCACTCACTCACTCCACAAAGCGATCGCAGTATACGACTGTCGTAGGTCTGTGGTAAAGTTAGGATCACCTATATTTGTGTGCTGTTTTATTCGACGGTGTTATTCGTTGCTCATAACACTAGTCACTGGTTTCTTGTTAAAGTGTGGCGGTGGGGTAGCCTAGTGGTTAAAGCGTTCGCTTGTCACGCCGAAGACCCGGGTTCGATTCCAAACATGGGTACAATGTATGAAGCCCATTTTCGGTGTCCCCTACCATGATGTTGGAATGTTGCTAAATGTGACGTAAAACTCAGATTCTTGTTAAAGTATGAGAGTTACGGTTGTCATAGCGCTACGATCGCATTGTGGAAAAGGTCATTTAGTAATGTATGCCTCCATCTTCTGTTTCAGGTTCGGTCGTCGCCGGTGTAGTCGGGACGAAGATGCCGCGGTATTGTCTCTTTGGGGACACCGTCAACACGGCCTCTAGGATGGAGTCAAGCGGTGCACGTGAGTATATCCTGTATTCAGTGCGTCTTGTAATGTGCGAGCTAGGAGTCAGTCAGGATGCTGGTTGGTTACTTTAACGCCGCACTCAGCAATATTCCAGCTATATGGCAGCGGTCTGTAAATAATCGAGTCCGGACCAGACAATCCGGTGATCAACAGCATGAGCATCGATCTACGCAATAGGAATACGATGATGCGTACCAACCAACTTTGCGTACCCTTTTGATACGTGTGAATTGGCACGGGTCCACGACCGAAGGCTATGAACACAAATTCCAGCAGGTTAGGTTGAATCCATCCGGGATTCGAACCCACACTCTGAGAGTCAGGCACCTAATCGCCAGAACACAAAGTCAGACCACTCAGCCAACGCCGCTTACACAGCAATGGCCATTAGGTGTGGCGATCAGGGCCAATTGTCACTTGTAACAAAGTGTAACAAAGTGTAACAAAGTGTTGCTCTGTCTAGGTTTGTCAGCACAGTAGAGATCCCCGTGAGTGTTGTCAAGATGGTGACGTCTACTGGTGGGGAAATCCAATATCAAACTGAGAAGTCGCCATTGGACTGAAATACTGCGTTGATCTGCAACTTGAGTTGCACCACCTGATAGGATCAGGATCCGATTAAATGGGAATATTAACCTTGGTTTATCAGCACCAGACCCGAGCTAAGGGACTGGGCTTCGTCACTCACTCACTCACCCACTGTCCACTTGTTTCTTTTACAGCCCAGAGGATCCACATCAGTAAGACCACGAAGGATCTCCTCACCGGCATTGGAGGTTTCTTCATCGAACCACGTGGATCCATCGACATCAAGGTCAGTTTGAACATTTGTAATCACATGTTCAACAGAAATCTGAAACCTTTGTTAGAGATAGGGAGATATATTTAGTCAGTAGTTCGGCCTCATTGCCTAGAATACAATTGTATTTCTATAGAACACATGCCACGTGGTGTACAATGTAGCAACATTTCTATTTGTTCGAGATAGATATATGTCTGCAAGCAGTGGAAAAGACAACAAAAATCCCATTATTGAACTAGTCAGCCCCTGATAACCCAATCGTTTGTTTGTTTTTCAGGGAAAAGGAGAAATGGAGACATTCTGGGTGACAGGGACGTCTCACCACGTCCCCAGGGGACCCTGCGTCGCCCCCCTCCCAGACGTCACCAGGAACTCCTCCTCCGTCATCGTCGACGTCACGGCATTGAATCAAGAGCTTAAACCCAACGTCATGACAAAGTTGTGATTCCATTATTCTGATTTACAAGAGAACAGACTTTCTCTGGTTATCACAACATTGATCTCCTTGACAGCATCGGAACATGAGTTTCTGACAATAACGTACATGATATCCTCACTAACACTTGTAACAAGCGGGCACTGTCTGTCTTTGATGTCCCCTTCTCATACCACCAGCTGACAGTGCTGAGGGTAAATTATTGCGGAGCATTCGGAAAACATCGGGCTTTTCACACGGGAACGACAAACTCCGAACAGGCGTATAGAGGAATGGCGCGTTCATACATCATCGGTTCTAATAATTTATTACTGAATGGTTCATATTGTATTGATATGTTACTGTGGCTTGCCGCTACTGGAGATTCGATACCCACCAAAGTGCTTTAGGCCTGTTTATACCCCAGAGTTTCTGGTACCCAGCGTTACATTGGCACGACCTTCTTGCTCCACTAAATCTCCGCTTCATTGCACGTTTGTCAACGTTGTACTATATATGAGTGAGTAAGTTTAGTTTTATGCCGCTTTTAGCAATATTCCAGCAATATCACGGCGGGGGGACACCAGAATTGTGCTTCACACATTGTACCCATGTTGGGAATCGAACCCAGGTCTTAGAGTGACGAGCTAACGCTTCAACCACTAGGCTACCCCACCACCCTTGTAGTATATGAGCAGCCACTATAGCTGAACGGTCCCTTCGTGCAATGTACCGCTGGACATGACTGTTGGCATTATGTTCGAATATATTAATTCATTGCTTCATTGATACACATGTTTCTTCGTCACAACGCCATATTTTATCGGCATCCACTGTGTGAAACACGAAGCCAGTGTATTTTGTTTCTTGAACCAATTAATTTCCGTTTTTGTCATATGGTCCCCAGGAAGGATATCAAATGGCCAGTCTCAAATGTCACTAACTTGAAATCTTCATGATCGCATATTGAACAAAAGGCTTAGGGGTCATGACAATTTGGTGTATGTTATTTTTGTAGTGAAAAATTGAAGTCACATTTCATATGCGATCACATTGGCTTGTAACGCTAAAACTGCCTTCAAGGTATATATTGTCACTGACGGGGTCTTAGTACTATATAAAAGGAAAGGGATGTAACGAGGTCAACACACCAGGTTCGTTTCAGGGCGAATTCAACAATGCTCACTGTATTTATCCCTTTCAAAGTGCACACATTTCAAGCCAATAGATTTACCTACAAAATGAGACATACAGCACAAAAATCGAAGCAGTACTTTGGGAGCTAGGGTCTTCGGAAGCTCGAAAAATCGTGATTTCTCGATTCCGAGCCAAAATCCCTGCTGAGAATTTGTAGCGGTAACTCACCCATTTTCTTGTTTATTTCACAGCATACACAAACGACATTCACCAAAACATGTTGAACTGATGGCGCCTGTCAGCGCGCTAGTCGCCATTCTTTCGGAGACACTTACATCTCACTGTCATAATGAGTTTACGTACGTTTATTCATCGCAAAGAGAATTGTGTCGTGCCCGTACGCCATTGACGACCTTGACCTTAACTTGCCCCGCACTTAAAAGAGCAAGAGCAAGGCGCCATCAGTTCAACATGTTTTGGTGAATGTCGTTTGTGTATACCGTGAAATAAACAGTGAGCTTGAAATGTGAGCAACTTTAAATGGGATAAATACAGTGAGCATAGTTGAATTCGCCCTGAAACGAACTTGGTGTGTTGACCTCGTTACATCCCTTTCCTTTTATATAGTACTATGACTCCGTCAGTGACAGTATATACCTTGATGGCAGTTTTTAGCGTTACAAGCCCCTGTGTATGCGATATCCCCGACACCCTGACCTTTTTGATCAGTAGATATGTCGAGTATTCCGTAGTTCGAGACAAGTAGCGTGATGATAGAAGAACATAGTATCGATGGGGGCTCTACCATGTAACAACATTTTATACGTCATTTTTAACACTACATGAAAACAATGAGCTCAGGCACCTATACTGTAACTGTATTTGTCTCACAAACTACGCATTGCACATGTTCATTTGGAAAAAGTTGAAACTGGAATGTCAGAATAATTATCTTTAATTTGAAAAAGCGAACAAACACATGAATCTTAATCTGATAACTTGACAAATGATCATTTTTCGTGATGCCTCTCGTGTTCCAGTAAAAAACAGAGAAATGGTCGCCACGATAACAGTTCCATAGAAATTAGTTTTGAATTAAATAAGCCTGGCTATGATTAATACTTGCATATTCGAGTGGTGCTGACTTTACAAACTGGTTAACAGCAATATAAATCTCCTGTACAACACCCACCCACAACCCCAGCCCCCAAATTTTACTCAACACACCAAACCAGCAGACTCCCATAGTGCTAGGACATTTACCGTAAAAAGTAGTTCTGAAGAATCCAGTTGGAGACCACGGAACTCACGCCATTATAGTGTTTGTTCCCTATACACCTGAAACACCCCTAATACGGACTCCTCTGTTTTGTAAATACTTCACTAGAGTTACCAATGCTTCCACGTCTTCAGGCACGGATTTCGACGGTGTTTTATGTTAAGTTTCCTCACTGTGAAATAGTCCCATACACCTGAACCATGACTGTTTCCATACTTTATACATGACATCAACCAATGTACATACCATCAATTAGCTTAGCGGACATGTTCACCTAACATTGTAAATTTCACATGACTAACTTGATAGAGGTCAGTACTTCAAAAGTAGCTTTTTTATTTAAAGTTTAATATTTTGAGGGGTTGAGAACAGATCCGCTACTAGTCGACAGGAACGGGCGAACTACACGCACGAACTACCTGTATATGTTACCCTGATGAAGTTGGCATCGTGCGGCACCATTACCCCGCTATAGCGCCAGTAAGTACGCAAAAAGGCGTTGATCCAAGTTCTCTTTCAATGTAAGCTCAGTATGGTGGCCTTATCACCCATGGGAATATCTATCGCACGACGTATGTTTTTGTGTGTAATAGATCCAAGATGGTTTTGATGTACAGATTTCACAATAGCACCCAAGTTACCACAACAACCTATTGTTTGTTTTTATTACTTAAAAAACAGTATGTGTTTTTGTTGACGTGGGATTTGATTTTTTTTCATGACAGGTGTTAATATCTCATCAACTCAATGAAAACGAAGGATCTACTACGGAGTACAGTGTCAATTTCTTTTGTACTGGGCAGTGTCGGGGCTTGTCTTTCCCACCGATAAATGAAAGCCAATTTTTTCAAGGCGGTTTCGTAGACTATATAGATAAGTATATGATTCCGTTTAGAAAATCGCTACCTGCAAGGCATGCTATGATCATAGGGACAAAGCCTTGTGTTTTTTACATGATCAATATAGTGTTGATCACGTGTATATTTACTCAGATAAGTATAATGTTACAATGTGTTAGCACTAACAAATAGGTTATGTGAACTAGAATTATCCGTCTAATTGAAATCACAACTGTTACAAATAGTTGAATCAAGGCAATGTTAACACGATGATTTGTCGACGAATGCCGATTGTCTTAAAAGGCACCATTTCATCTTCCAAATGTGGGGTTTTATGGTCGTCTTTTAGATTTTAATGTTTCTGTGTGTCATTGGTTGGCGGCGTACGAATAATTAGGTTTGGATTGTCCTTCCTTAGCGCAGCCGAAACTGACCCGTAGTATAACTGTTTTGTTTAAATGGGTCTCATCTCCTGCCTTACTACCAAGAGACCAGGCGGGCGAGAACACACCCCCCACCCACCCCCCAACCTTTTACTATATATGTAACCGTTTGGAGATGTTTAAAAATCAGATCACCTTGTAATAGTGTTTTAGTTAATTTATGATGTAAATCGAGTTGATTAGCTTCGGAATCAATTTTCAATAACCGTATAGATGAAGAAAGATCCAGCTGACCTGGGCCCGGTTGCACAAATCTATCTTAGCGCTAATATATCTTTTGTCTATATGTTAGTGTGTGGGATCATCGTACATCGCTTTGTGCAAGTAGGCCCTGGTTATTTACGTGTGTTCACTGGCAAGAGTATTCTTATCCATCAAAACAGGGAATGCAATTATCAGCGGTGGGTAAATGAAAAACGGAAACATTTTATTATGAAAATACAGGAATCATCGGAAAAAGCTCGAACTGCCTGTAAGAGGCGTATAACCTTTCGACAGATACTTCCACAAGCTTCTGTTGTTTAATGCCAAAGTTGGTAATACATCCCGGTGGTATGCAATGACCCTATTTAAGTAATCGTGTCCGAAACCAGTGGGTGATGTCATGAGTAACGACCGACGTCATTGAAGTTCGATGACTCGCAGACAACCATGCCACAGAGGTGAGGTGAGGTTAGGTGAAATTGGGTTCAGCGTCGTACTTCAGAATATTTCGCTCATATGACGACGTGCATGCGTGTGTATGTGTGGCTGCTTGTACTAGCCCAGACTTAGGCTAGTTTTAGGGTGCTAGCTCACTGAAATACCATGCGACAGTGAAGCATGAATACCCCACTCAGACACAGTATACTGACTCCGAGCCGACGAGTCCTTGTTGTCCCCATTGGTGCCGAGCGCCAGGCAGGGACCAACAAGTAACATATTTTGACGTCTTTTGGTATGACGTGGCCCTGGATCGAACCTGCGACCTTCTGCTCTAACTATTACACCACGGGGATGGCCCATGCCATAGAGACTGACTCCACCATATTCCTCGTACAGTAAGCATAGGATACAAAGGAAGTGTATGTACCCGGAATCGTCCCAGGTAATGTAGGCCATGTTTTAACATCAGATAAATCCATCCAACAATTATTCAGGAAAGGACGAGACAAACATTTTATCCTTGTGTTTGTCCACAGCGACTATGTAAATCGCCACTAATCACACTGGAACCATAACCATTATCTGTGGCCATTATATACTAACATTTGGGGTATCCAGTGTCGCAAACATTGATCGCTGTGCTTGATTTTGTTTATCGATGAAAACTTAATCAGCACTGACACTGGC